ATATACAATTTTCTCTCGCTTTATACAAACACAAACACACTTTATACACTTGTGTTTGTATAAAAAACGAGAGAGGTGAGGGAGAGAACGAGAGTGGCGAGCGAGATTCACCAGGAGAGAGGTGAAATAGCAACAATTTGCTATGAGGTACAATTAAATCAAACTATATTTATAGCATTTAATTTGAATTAATAGTTTACTATTATTTACAATTTTCCCTTAAAAGGGAAAATTTCATATATGGCAAACAAATTTTATGAAATAACATTCTATGGGTATAATTTACATAATTACATTCCATGGGTATAGTTTAGTTTGTTAGGTACCTTCAATTTGTATAAAACATTTTTTTTGTTTTTAATTTATACAAAATTTTATTTTTTCAGTAAATGATAATAATAGCACTAAATATAGTTTACATAATCCCATGATTTAAGCTAAACGTTCAAAATCAAATATTTTTCCAAAAAAAGAATTCTACATCGATAGAAAGACAGTATTTGTATTTGTAATTCTTTTGTATATATCTACAAACTATATTTGTGTATTAGTATGTGTATATGAATATGATACTTAAATATGCAAATATACAACTGTCTCATATGACTTTGTATATATTACATTAATATACAACTCAATATATACATAACTTCCGTAATTTGTATATAACTACTAGAATATACAAATTACAATATACAATTATAATTTAGGCATAAACTAGGGATAAGGGTCTGAAAAATATCCCAACTTTGGTCGGATTTGCTGTTGCGATACTAAACTTTCATAAGGACCTATTACCTTCCTAGACTATTTAGTACCATATTTTTTACCATCTGAACTATTTAATAGTGTATTTTAAAGGTATATATGTGCCCACGTGGACACATTACTATTTATAATTTTACATTATTTTTTTATGTCCACGTGGGCAAATATATATGTTTAAAATACAGTATTAAATAGTCTAGGGAGGTAATAGGTCTTCATGAAAGTTTAGTATCGCAACAGCAAATCCGACCAAAGTTTAGGCATTTTTCAGACCCTTATCCCCATAAACTATATACAATTGTCTTTTGTATTTATCTACAAACTATATTTGTAAACTATATACAATTGTTTTTAATATACAAGTCACTATATACATATTACCTTAATATACAAGTCATTATATACATAACTTTAATAATTTGTATATAACTAATAGAATATACAAATCCCAATATACAATTACAATATAATTTAGGCATAAACTATACATATACTTAAAGTAACTTTTTATCTTTCGCGTTGTTAATAACTTTTTGAATTGCCATTGAGTCATTTTTTTTCTTGAATCTCAATTCTTCAATAGATTGTTCATCTTGAACTTGTTTAGATTTTGCCATAGACCCTACATTAACCCCAAAATTCAGAGTTAAACCCATTGAAAATGAGGGTGGATTGTCAACAATATTGACATGCAATGGCATACTTCTCATAATCCTCATAGATGGAGATGAATCATCCATTCTGATTTTGACCTTTGAAAAACTTACAATCTGATAAGAAAGAAAGATTTTTTAAAAAAAATATGAAAAAACTAACTAGTATATACATATACAATTGTTGAAGAAGGAAAAAAGAAAAAAAAACTGGATTCATGGGTTGATTTTGGCGCTTACTTGCGAAAATTGAAAGCAAGACGAGAGGGAGAACGTGAAATTTTCCCAAATTCGAAATTCAAAATAGGAGTGGAGGAGTGATTTTAGGAGAAATATATGGAATAGAGATAGGAGAGATAAAATTGATTTTGTATAAAATTATATACAAAGCATAAAAAGGTCTTTTACGATTGGGTATACAAAGAGGTGATGAATCCCATTAATTATGACAAAAAAACTGAAACTATAATTACTGACAGTAAATAAATTAAACTATACCCTTGTTAACTAACTAATTACTTAGGGCCATCCCACGTTATTTTCCCTAAACAACCATCCAAAAGTTGTAATAAGGACCAAAACAGATGAATTCTAAAACTTAAGGGACACAATTGAGTTAAAAACTCTTTTAACAATTACAGAGCATTGCCCGCCGACGGTTGTTTGCTTGCGCCGGGCGGGACAAATACTGCAAAGCCGCAAATCCCTTTCAGTTTTACTATAAATTGTTGGCAATAGCTAGTTGATGGAGTCGGAAGTTTCTAGAAATCCATGGCGAGTGCTGGAGTTCTACAGTGGAATTGGTGGCTTGCGGTATTCTCTGCTCAAAGCCGCCGTCAACGCTACTGTTGTGGAAGCTTTCGACATAAACGACGTCGCTAATGACGTTTACCAGCACAACTTCGGTCACCGGCCTTTTCAGGTGTTTGAGAAAAAAATCACCACATAATTGCTTTGTTTAACAATTAATTTACTTTTACTGATTCTCGCCCACTGTTTAAATTTAGTGGAGAAGATATCATATCAAAGTTAGAAGTTTGAAAATTTATTGAATTTGAAGTGTTGAAAGTTTGTATAGAAGTGTTTATTAGTGAAATGGTATGCTACATTTTGAACGTATCAAATTGTGAAGAATTTCATGTAAATTAGGATTGTGGGAGTAGCTTTTCCAGTCTTTATTCTGTCGATGAAAACTCGAAGGAGAAAATACAGAATCCTGTTGGGGTATTCAGATGCAAGATTATTCAGTTTGTTGAACTTGAATGGAGTAATATTTTCATTCTAAGACCAATAAGCATTGTTCAGTAATAAAACATATATAGTTGTGGATGTAATAATATTTTTGTTTGTCTCTGCAGTTGAAAATTTGAATTATTCAGTATTTATTGAAGGAACATGTGGCATACCTAAGCTTTTTAGGTTCCTTTTCTTTTATACATAGTAAGTAGAGAAAAAATTGTATGAAGAGAAGTAAAAGTGAGTTTTTTACCATGCATGAAATGTTTACTTTTTTAGTCTCACATGGAAAAAATATTGTGGACTCTCAGTTTGAAATGGAGGGAGCATTTTACTCTATGAATGTTATACAAAAGTTACTGATAATTTATACTTGTCAAAAAAAAATTTCACTGAGAATTTGCTTATCCATTGATAAAGTGTATATATTTGGGTGACAATAGGGTAACATTCAGACTCTGAATGCCGCTGATCTTGACAGCTACAATGCTGATGCTTGGTTACTTTCTCCTCCTTGTCAGCCATATACTCGACAAGGTGATGAATTGCATTCCCCCATTTTTTTTATAGTCGTGGTGCCCAGGCCAGCAACTGTGTTCCCCCATTTCACTTTTCTTTCTTTTTCTTCTTATGGCCATATTAACTGAAACCTTTTTGTTACATTTTTGTGTCAGGACTCCAGAAAGGTTCTAGTGATGCACGTGCATCATCATTTCTTAAAATTCTGGAACTTGTACCACAGTTATTACGGCCTCCATCATATCTTTTTGTGGAAAATGTTGTAGGATTTGAGGTTTGTGTCTTTCCCAATCATGCTTCATTCTACCACCTATGTTTTTCCTTATTTTATCCAGCTGTCTTATGCTATATTGGGGCAGATGGTCATCTTGGAATATATATAAAACCTTTTTCCTTCATTGCAGACTTCTGATACCCATGCGATATTGGTCGATATATTGGAAAAGAATAATTTTGTTACACAAGAATTTATTTTGAGTCCACTGCAATTTGGACAGCCATATTCTCGGCCTCGTTATTATTGCTTGGTATGTCTCTATGTCTTCCTCTTTGGATTTTTATCAATAAAAAGGACTAGTGTCTATATTCATCACATGTATGTTTTCATTCATTGCGCATGTTCTGGACTTCTTTCATTTTTTAAATAGTTGTCTATCGGTGATGTTGTTAATATTTGAATTACGCTTATTAACTGATGTGTTGAAATGAAATGAGCTGAGTAGAACGGAATAGTAACAAAGAACTTCATATACCTAACCCAACTAGTTTTTGATTGATGTATAGTCAATTGTTTGATGGATTACACTTATATGATTGGTGAGAAATGATTGAGATGCATTATGGGAACTGACTGAACTTTCCTCAATAAAGACGAAGTCTTTTGTGGGGAAAGATCACTGAGGAGCACAAAGAAAACAATTAAACAAATTGGGAGAACTTGGTCATGTCTCCTCTTTGGCTTATGAAGCTAACCAGCATGTTTTTTTAATAAAAGTTCTCCTATTTTTCCCAGATAATGGGAAAGGATAGGTAGTTTTACCTACTGATTGTTGTCGATTCTTCTCAACAACTAAATTTAACATATTGAAACTTTTAAGTTGCATCTTTCACAACCTAAAGTTCATTGTGCTTAAGCAAACATGTTGTGCAGAGCAAAGTATATCGTTTGATTTGATTACTAAGTGTCGAAGTCAAGGTTAATATTGGGCAGAGACGAGCACAGATAAGAAAGCTTAGTCAAATGTTTAACATCTAGTAACTAACATGGTTCCTCATAAACCTCTGAATGACATTCAGGACACGAAAATTTTCTGTTAACTGCTTTTTCAGTTACCTTTATTTTAATATGCTTGAATAATCATTACAAGTAATCTTACATTTTAGTATACAGTTGGATGCTTCATTTATAAAAAACTTGGGTCACATAGTTGACTAACATTTTAAAGGTAAAAATGCAGTACTGTTTTATTTTTAGGCCACACATAGCTTGGTTTACCTTGTTGTATGTAGCCCTTGATCTGTTCTAAAGTAAGTAATTGTTTTGAGTTTCCCCCAAAGATTTGGTGTGGTGGTAAGAGGGCGACACGTAATGTATAGGTTCTAGGTGCATGTCAAGGGTTCAAACGTTGTGGCAGACGAAAGCCTTTAAGCAGAGAAGGGTAGAGAAATGACCCATTATCCATTTTGAGTTTTGAACCATGCAAACCTTGTGAATTTTTTTGTTAATAAGAAAATGTAAGTGTCTTGAGTTATCCTTATGTTAGTCCATTGTTCTTACCTGTTATGTTCCTTAAACCCATAGGCAACAAACAGTTATTTAGTGTTTTGTTTGTCCCAATTTATGTGGCATACTTTCCTTTTTAGTTTGTCTCAAAAAGAATATCATACTTCCTTATTTAGAAATCATTTGACTATAAACTTCCATTTTACTCTTGATGAGACGATTTATAGCCACACAAATGTCTATGACTTTTTCTTGACCACAAGTTTCAAGAGTTTGTCTTTCTTTCTTAACCTCTGTGCCCAATCATCGCCACATGAATTGGGACGAAAGGAGTATTGGAAAAGTGTTGGTGACTTTATGGACAGTCTTATAGATTGCAGAAGACCTGCTTGAGTTGGAAACTAAATAATCAACACTTATCATTCTTAACATCATGGGAGTAAACTGGGTAATGCCAAGGACCTCAATGGAGCTACTGAGGCTGGCTCTTCAATGGGATGGGAAAGGCAAAAGTGCAAACCTGGAACTCAATCCCCGCCGCTATTTCGTGGACCATTTGGAAAGAAAGGAATGCAAGAGTTTTTGAAAGCAAAATTGAATCTGTAATTAGCATGAAGTACGGATGTATCTCCTTCACCTTTTTTGGGTGTAACATGGCTAATTGCAAATGATATAGATGCCATGTTAGATTTCTCCTTACACTTGCAGCCGTGATGAGCTGCTCTCTCTGTATGTTTCTTTAAAGCACTTTCTTGTTGCTGTATTTGCAATGAAGTAACCTTTAATAATCAAAACACATTGTTAAAGACTAAATAGACATGGGAGTTAAAGTAAATTTAGGATGCAAATGTGGCTTATTGGCGATCAAAATTCATTTCATAATTAGTTCATTCCTTGTGTATGTAATGCAATCAACTTATGGTTATTAATTTATTTATTTTGCAAAACACAAATTTAAATCACTGAAATTACTTTACTGCAGGCCAAGAGGAAACCTTTATCCTTTGAAGTCCCTGAATTTAACAATCAGCTTCTTCGGACCCCTGGTCCTTTACTTGGGCAGACTGAAAGCACAATGGAAAGGGAACAGCTGCTGTCACCAGAGTACTGGGATGAGCTGCTTCAAGCTTGTCAACCTGTAGACGATTTTCTAGTATTTAGAACTTTTGGTAATCGGAAGGACTCATCAACTTACTCTTTCCATGCTAATGATTCTGTAAAATCAGATAGAAGTGATGAGGAAAATGATGTGTACTTTGTTCCATCAAGCCTGATTGAAAGATGGGGAAGTGCCATGGGTATCCTTCTTCCTGTTGATTCCTACAGCTTCCTCTGTTTCTTATGTCATTTATCTCTCTCTCTCTCTGCTCGTCAATTGTTGTTGGGCTACATCCTTAAAAGATCACAGATATTGTTTATCCTCATTCAAAGCGTTGCTGTTGTTTTACAAAAAGCTATTACAGATATGTGAAGGGTACTGGCTCACTGTTGGCAACTGCCCAGGCAACTGTCCAGGTAAAGCTTTAAAGTATCATCATGATGTTAACGTTTCTCCTTTGAATATGTTTTTTTTAAGTTGCCTTTATAATATAATATAACAATTAAGAAAGAGACTCTGTAGTTTTGAAAAGTTGGTTATAATCTTATTTTCTATTTTGCTACTCCATGGGATTACCTTGATATTTCTTGTTGAAGGTTTCTGTAGAAATGGAGAAGGAAACCTTTTGGGAACTCTAAGAAACATACGATATCATACATGCAACCATGCTTCTGCATACATGGAGGATAAGTTGATTATTATTTATCTTCATAACCCATTACAATAAGTAGTTCCACAGTCTTTATAATTTTACGAGAGTTTTCCCTTGTCTATAATGCCTCTTTCTGTATTTAAATTAATTCAAACCCTCACTTGAGATTTTTGTTCTATGAGACTCATGTGCGTCTTGTTCACACTGATCACATGGGCTCTCTTTTCTTGTTGTTATGGAGGTTTATCTCTCTTCCACCCCCCTCAGCAGTCAAATATTCTTTTAGATGTTAGATATTGCAGTAACAGGAGCAGTTATAACTTATAACACCTAAGGATGTTCTAGCGGTCAATGAAAGTGGAATGAAGACTATAAGAGACGAGAAATTTTGACGCTTTCCCCCGCCTACCATCTAGCTGCAATCCTTCCCTTAACCCTAATCATGCTTAAGACATGGAATTGGATGCTTCTTACTCCAAAAGTCAATAAGTAGAAAAGTGAGGAAGTGTTTTTGGCTATGTTAATACAACTAGCCATACTTGTGTGAGAATGGTCATTGCTTGCCAAGTGGCATTTATGGGGCCATAATAATGCATCTTTCCCTCTCTTTGCACACATCAACCGCAGCGAATCCCCTACCCCTGCTAATTGAGGCCTAAGGTATAGCACTAACTGTATCAAATGTACTAGCAATGACTTTTGAGGGCCCATCCATTCTTTTTCTTTCCCTCTGCTTGTCACATCATATCCTCGTCCCATACAAACCATGTCACTGTTATCGATTGGATCTTCTGTGCTCCTTTATTAGTTGGGTGGAAATAATTAGATGAATGGATTATTAATTGAAGAAATAGAAGTGGAAGATGGATTGACTATTGTGCCCAATGAAGCCCAACTATGTACTGCTCTAAAACCTTATTAAAAAAAAAGTGTACTGCTCTAAGAACAAAAACCTTAGTAACTTAATTCCAACAAACAAACATCAATTAGAAGGATCTCTTACTCAAAAAAAAAGAATGATTTTTACTCGGTTAAGATATTTTTCTCTTGTCCAATTTGTTCCAAAAATTTGTACAGTCATCCTTGGGAATATGTATGGGATAAAAAGTCAAATGTGGTAGAGAAGAAACTTGATAGCATTTAATTTGAATTCACTTGAATAACCGGGTCCAAGTGGGTATAACCCCTGTTGTCAAAGTAGAATAATGTGCCAGGGCCATTGTGAATGGTGCTTGTTGTGGGGAGAGATATGTTGTTGTGCCAGCTTGGTTCAGGGTAACCTTTGTGGAAGGTTTTCTACCTAGAGGTTGTTGAGTGGGTTTTGAGGTTTTTGTGCCTTACCGGTTCTGGAACTTCACCTAAAGATGCTGATGGGTGAATGTGTATGGGAGGAGATGATGTGAAACATGCTTGGGAATTCAAAGAAATTGAAGATGGATTCTTCAATCTCACATGAACACCAAGAACAATTATGGGAAGCAATAAAAGGATAGGAAGATTAAGACAATTGTTAGGGTAAACACACACCTATGTAGTAATTACCTAGACATATGTAAATGCAATCAACAATTTTAAATCCAGGATAAGAAGAAAGAAAGGATTGTTCTAGAGTTGAAGTGCAATCAACTAACTCAAAGAAACAATGAAGGGAATTTAGTAACTAATAAGATTAATATTCAAATAAGATACAATCCTAAGGGAGAAGGGATATGACTCATACATAAATTACTAACTTGCAGTAATTTAAAAGTGGTTTAACTCCAACTTTCATACAGTAACCTAAACTCATCCTCCAAAAGTAATTGCCCTTTAAGAAGAGAGACCATATCCCACAATATGCTTATGCGGATATCTAAAGAGTGGAGAACAAGGTCCAAGACAACTAGAAGCCCAAAAGGAGAAGGAAAACCCATGTCATTGGTCCTAAATGAAGAGGCCCTAAATTTAAAAGTATTTTAGTATTTTTTGTAGGCTATTAGGTTGTTCTCTTTTTTTGAGTTTTATTTGGATGATGAGTTTAGGTTATTCTTTGAGAGTTAGGGATTTGTTCCATTCTTTTGAACCTCTCTTAAATTACTACAAGTTAGTTATTCATGTATGAGTTCATATCCCTTCTTCTTTGGATTGCATCTCTTAGTTGAATGTTAATAATAAAACCTAGTTCTTTCTTCTCCTTTTGGACTTCTAATTATCTTGGACATTGTTCTCCACTCTTTAAATATCCCCAATTCACAAATATTGTGTATTTTGAAGTTCGGAAAGAAGCCTACATTTCATGATGGCCACCTCGTATCCCATAGGAGATATTTGGGATGGAGGGGTGATGGGACGAGAAGGGAGGAGAAGAAAATGAAAGAAAGAGAAGCAGTAGGGGGGTTGGGCTTGCTGGGCTGGTGTGTGAAGAGACAGGGAGAAACGAATAATGCATTATTGTGGGCCCCACAAATGCCTCTGGCAAGCAATGACCACCCTCACACAAGTTTTACCTTGTATTTAACACAATGTAAAGTGTCTCTGACCCAGGTTCAAATTCCGCAAAGGGTAAAGTTAATTTCTTCTCAAATTAAGTCTTGGTAGACAGAGTTATCCAATACATTTACTAGTGGAAGGATGCAGGTACTGATGTAATAGTTGTGGTAATTGGTATGCGCAAGTTGACCAGGAAAGCATCGTTATAAAAAAATAGTTATGGTCATTGATCTACTTGAAACATAATTTATTTACTTGTCAATTTTATTCTTTTTTACTTATGGTTGTATATGCACTGCCTGTTGGTTAATTCTAGATTTGCTTATGAGAAGACAAATTGACATCCCTCATTTAAAGGTGAAAAAGTGTAAGATTCGACACCGGGGTGTGGCCTTTTTGCCTTGATGTCACCACCCCATGAGCATAGCCATGTTCTTGATTCGAAATTGGGGCGGAGGTTCATAACTTCCAAATGGAGGTATAAGTGATGAAGTTGCTCGTGTCTTGCCGCGACGTTAAATTCCCTCCGTCCATCTTTACTTGTCCATGTTTGACTTGGCACACCCCTTAAGAAGCAATAAATGAAGTGGTAATTTTACTATATAACCCCTAATTATTGTAAGTCATCTCACTCATTGGGAAATGAATTAGAAATAACTAGTACTTAATAATAATGGTAAAATAGGTATAAAATGGCATATTATCTCCTGGACTCCCAAACTGGACAAGTAATAGTGGACATCAATTTTTAGTATAATAGACAAGTAAAGATGGAGGGGGGAGTACTTAACTGCTCCATTTGATTAAAGGCTGGTTTCTCTAGTTTCCAAGATGAAGTGTTGTGTATCTGAAAGTTATAGTTTTTTTCTTTGATTCTATGATTAATCAAAACGTTCTTCTGTTTTATTTAGTTTGATCTGGATAATTTATACTGATGTTGGATTATTCATTCTATTTTCTCCGTGTTATTAAAAGTCATTGGTTCATCACTTAAATCGATGTGAAGTGAGGAGTTATCGCTTCATGGAGAAGTGTGTGCTTCAAACAATGATGTAAAAGTGATCCCAGTAAGAAGTAATCTCAACTTTGAGGATTTGGATTAGGAGCGGCTGTCACACTACAGCGGCATTATTGTATATTGGAGGCTAACATTAGTTATTTTAGATGTAATTTGGCTATTATGGTACTAAACTCTTATGTGTTTAGAAGGACAAATATACCCTCGAACTATCGTAAATGGTATCTAGATACCCTTCGTTATATTTTTAGGACACTGATGACCCTACCGTCCAAATTTTGGGTTGTATATAACCTTTGAACTAACGGAGAGACACGTGTCACAATCTTAACGGCCTATCCAAAATTTATTTATTTTTTATCCCTAATTAAAAAGCCCACCCAAAAACCCACCCGGATAAGTACAACCCAAAAAAAAACCCGACCCACACCCAAATAAACCCATTTTCCCTTTCTTCATTGTTCCATCATCCAAACACCCCACGAAATAGATCGACACCGGAAACACCACTGCAATTTCATCTTCTTCGGCAAAGACCAAAAAATAAAAAGACACATATTATAACCCAAAAACCCCCAAGTATACATGCTCCTCTCTTGTGTGATTGATAAACCTGATAAAAGGTAGCACAAATGAGTCAATAACAATATGTTTGATTTCGAGAAGGATAGAGGGAAAGATGGGAGAAAGGACAAAGATTTTTTGGTTTATTTTGAACTCGTGAGGTATTAGTGTGAGGTTTTGATTGAGAAATCATCACCAACTACCAAAATTGACAACACCCAGATGTTTATAAATTGGAATTTCAATGAGGCAAAAAAAGTTATAAATTTTGCGATGCTAAATCCATTCGAAGCTTTTTGGTTCTGTTTGCCGGTTCTACTGGCGCAATGATGAAGGAGAGATGGGTTCATGATGGTCAAGTTTCATGGTGGCCGAAGGGTCATTGCATCGCTGATTTCGCCCGGAGCAAGGGAGTTGAGTTTAGGAACAATTAGAGGCGATTTTGTTGTGGAACTTCATCGGAGAAGATGAGTCGCGACGGTGTGGTGGAGTTCCGGCGTGGGTTCGGTGGGGGTGTTAATTGGTTGCCGATGATTGGTGGAACAATGAAGATAAGAAAATTGGTTGGCGATGATTGGTGGAACAATGAAGATAAGAAAATTGGAGTTTATTTGGGATTGGTTTTTTTTGGGGTGGGGTGGGGGTGGGTTATAATTATTTGGGCGGGTTTTCGGGTTGGGCCTTTTAATTATGGATAAAAAATAAATAAATTTTGGATAGACAGTTAAGATTATGACACGTGTCTCTCCGTTAGATCAAAGGATATATACAACCCAAAATTTGGACAGTAAGGTCATCAGTGTCCTAAAAGTATAACGAAGGGTATTTAGATACCATTTACGGTAGTTCGGGGGTATATTCGTCCTTTTTCCCTTAATTTTTTATAACTTGTACACTTGACTTCAAAGAAGCATGCACTTCACTTAACCCTCTTCAATCCTCATGCACCTTGTAATTTTTTTGTGCTTTTCACTTCAAAAAATATTGCTCTCCAATGATTTCATGGGGTGCCATTTCATAAATACAGGAAAGAACAGAGAATAGAACGCCTTCACTGCAGGGTCTGTCTCTTAGATACTTCACGCCTAGGGAGGTATTCAATTCTCTTTAGTTTTGTGAAATGTTCTGTCTTCTTGCTTCTTTGCTTTCTTGGAAAATAAAGCAATATAGATTCAAGACATCTCACAGATCTTGATTGTAGGTTGCGAATTTGCATTCTTTTCCAGAAGACTTCCAGTTTCCACAACACATCAGTCTTCGCCAACGGTACATCTTTTTCCCAGTACTTGTACTTCCTTATTAATGAATCATTTTTTTCTCAACTCCTGTGATTGTAGTTCAAATAGTTAGTGTGTAATTGTTGTTTTTTATTCATAGAAACTGATGTTGCATAGGCCTTAAGGGAATTGTCGATCTTGTATTGATTCCTGTCTTTCTATGGGCCATTTTGACTTTTCCTATTTTCGAAACAGTGTACCCCTTCCTCTTCATTTTATGTGGTGGTGTTTGACTGGGCACTGAGTTTAAGAAAGAAAGACATGTACATATCATCATTACCATTAGAACTTGTGATCTTAAACATGCCATGGCATTTTTATGGCTATAAGAACATATCGTTAAGGGTGAAACATGAAGTTTAAAGTCAAAGAATTTCCAAATACAGAAAAGTGTCATTCATTTCGGAACTGACTATAATGGAAAGAGTGTCATTTAACACGAAAGAGATATCATGATTCTGATCCATTTCATTGTTTGAGTTGGATAGAAGGTGATTAGACCTTATCTACAAATGCATATTGTCACAAGTGAACAATTAAATTAACAAACAAACGAGTACATTAATACGACACAAAATTGCCCGAGGTTGCCTTGTGAAATTACAGTTGTCACTTTAGTTAGCTTTAAAGCTATTCCCGCAAGAATGAGAGAGTTCGTCCTGGGCTCCTGGATTTACTTAACGAGATTTGAGCAATTCTGTTCTGGGTTTCATAAAAGAATCGCGTGCTAACATATGTCTTTGGGTTTTTTGGTGCAGTTATGCAATGCTAGGAAATAGTTTAAGTGTGGGAGTGGTTGCTCCATTGCTTCAATATCTCTTCACCAACCCATCATGATTATATTATTATCTGAAGCTCCATCTATACAAGTTTTACTGGATAAAAATTCACAGCCAACAGTTTTTCCCTAAATCTGATGGTCTAGTAGATGGATGCACTAAAGAAAAGCAGTGCTGACACGATGATGCGGATTGCAGAAGACCAATCTGTAACCAGCGTTTCTATAACTTGATCCAGGTGAGATGATTGCGTTTTGACTTCAGTAAATCGTGTTAAAGAGAGATATATGGGATGCCCCTTCTGCATTCTGCTCATTGGCTGCGTAGAATGGTTCTCAGCTGCACTCACAATATTTTGAAATGTATGAGCTTGGAGCCATTGGTAAACCGCAAGAGGTGCTTGCCTAATTTCATCTCTAAGATCTATCAAAACATTTGAATTGAGTAGAAGGAGATTTCACAAATCCTTCTTGATTGAACAGGTTAAAATGATGTTTATTCAATATACTGTAACTTTAAAAGCTCTTAAGAAATCTGTTGCATGCAAAAATTGTTTGTATAGAATTATTGCACTCAAAAATTATATTTGATTTCGTCTTCTTTTTTTATTTTTGTAAATTTCTGATTTAATTAATCAGTTAAATATTAAAAATTGTTGGAACAATAAGTTGAGCTTCAATTTGGATGTGAGATTTGAGTTGTGAAGTCATATCCAACATGGATAAACAATGAAGCTTTTGAGTTTTAATTTTTTAGTGGGTCGGGTTGGGGATTAAAAGAGTTTAAATGGGTCAGTAGATTTGATTGAAAAAAAATGTGTCACGTAGGCGGCATATAGGAAAATTAAGTTGGAACATGGAGACTTAACACAATAGAGGTAAATATGACTTGCGAGCAAATAGGATTTTTTTCCCCCTCCATAATTTTATGTAATAGAAGTAAAAAGAATGATTTTTGCACGTTAAACTCAAAGCTAGATGACCACCATTGAAATTTACCCAACTTTGGAGATTCTCTCGTATTTTCTTCAAGAAATTGAACACAATTTTGAGTCACAAACTAATGTAATGATCAAAAGGGATCAAAAAGTTGCAGCAGCTCCTATAAATTTCCTTGCAAATGTCGTTACACTGCCATATAACATTGTAATAACCGTAAGATAAATGGCTCTACAAAACTTAAGCGTAGTGACCAATGACCTACAAATTATATTTAACTAATTATGACATAAATACTATAAGATTCACTATAGCTAGAATCAAAAAAACTTACAAGAAAACTACTCCATTGTAGAAAGACAGCTTGACGTGAGAATCAACTCTAATGTACTCTCTATATAATCCATTCACAATTCAAACAATGAAAATCAACGTTTCTCCTAATTAATCTCCTAACAAACCAACAAAACAAAATCAAGAAATATGAGTTTATCATCTCCACCAGCCTTTAACTTTTCTATGCTCCCATCAAACTTGATCCCGGGGGACGCGAATCCTCCGTGGATGAGCAA